AGCGCGACTACGTGCGATCGAGTCCTTGAGGTAGAATGCTCGGGAACAACCCACACCCGTGCTACACCATCTTCAGACTAAAAGTTGTAGTGACAGGCATGCAGTAGAGAAGAGGTTCTTAGTTGGTCAATTCTGTAGCATCTATAAGATTTTTGCTATATCAATCCTATGGCTTTTCGCTGCCATTCCTTTCGCAGTACTTTTGGGGTTTTTTCTTTTCACAAAGCTGGGGATTGCACTCCTTACTTCAACTTGTTTGCAGGTGTGAAGGTCATCAGTGACGTGAACTCAAATGTGGAAAAGGCAGTGACCGTTACGAGCTCTGTGAAAGAGGATGTCCCTTGGCAAGGTATGATTTCCAAGAACTTTTAGTACCTTCTTGGAAAGTGTCTCGTCTTTCTCCTGACAACATTGAGCGAGGTTTTGTTTTTTCGAATGCTTATTCATAAGGAGTTCATAACTAAATGATCGGCTATTCTCCCAATTTGGACCAGCATTAGCTGAGTGGAGAGGATGAATATGATGAAAGGCGCCACTAGAAAGGTTTTTTCTCTTTTTTCGTTCATCAATTGGAAAGCCACCCTCCAAAGAGAGCGTGGTACGAGCCACTTCTTTGAACTATTCGATTCCTGAAGATCGGCAAAATGACTTATTATCACAGAACGTATACCATATTCTGCATTCTCTGGGACAGGAAAGGAGGAAAAACTTCATCTTGAGATTCGTGGTTCAAATCCTATACGTAAGATGGGAACTGAGAAGAGTTTCAGTTAGCCCCAAAACAGGTCTGCAGTCGGGAATATTTTGGGTGACCGAGCATCCGTTCGAAGTACTTTTCCCTCAAATTTTCGTACATTGCCATTTACTTCTATGTAGGGACAAGTAGCGTGATCCTTCTGATCCCTGTACGCAACTCATGGGTATTATGCTTGAGACTCGCTATGATTGCTTTTTTTTTTTGATTTGGGGTATTCGATATAAAGAGCAGCACATTCCTGAGTCATCAATTTTATCTGTGAGATTATATGAGTTAGCGATGATTCACCCCTTTTTCTCTGGAATTTTCGTGCAAGCTTTTTGGAACTCTGGCATTGTCACATGCTATATGAATGCCGATAGCAAAGAGGTTGTTGGCTCTAGAAAGCATTCTGAGAAGTGAAGGGTCAGGGTTTTGCTTGTAAGGACCTTATCCTTTCCAATTTAGTCTGATAGGTGAATGACTGATTGGGAGGGTGAGCTGGCAAGATTACTATCATAGTACATATGTACATGAAGACGCTGGATGGCTCCTTCTTTCAGTCCCCTTTCGCTGGATGAATTTGCAAGTACAAGCTTTATCTACCTGGCCTTTTGTTTGCTGGGAAAAAATTGCCAAGCAGTCATGACTGCACGATATACCGGTGAATCACCGCTCAACCACAGTACAACTACCACTCTAGATCGCGTGATACACTGATGCTTCACCCACATCAATCGCACCAGAGTACTAGGAATTTGCTGAAAAAAAACCCAGGTTTTTTTCTGGAATTTACGGAAGTTTTCATAGAAATACTATTAAAAGACACTAATCATCCGATGCGCATAACATAGAAGGAAATTACGTGATAACCATCAGGTCAAGGCTCATCATCGGCCTTAACAGAATCGCTCAGGAGGAGCTCAAATGTCTGATACCTGGCACAAGTTCCGGTGTTTTCAAACAGCGGAGTGGCTCAATTCGAACTCGAAGAAAAGAACATGTCGAATATGGGGAGACAACCCGGTCCTTTTAGGGCTAAATGGTGAGGAGGAGGCCGAACGTGTTATTCGTGTACGATTGAATACTGTCTTTATATGGCAATGGAAACTTACTCCTGAAAATCCCGGTTTAGGCGAAAATCTGAATTAATGGGAAACCTTTTGCACATTCTTTCTGAATGACCTACATGATGCCGTTTTCAAGTAAAACCACTTTAGCTGTAATCGTACGCCCAATATCATTTCCTGGGTTCAAATACAGACAAAAGAAAATGATGAACTATTTAAAGGCACAGTTCACGATAATTTTGGGTAAACCAGATTATGATGAAGGATGGAAGACAAGATCGAGAATAGTGCGATGAAGATTAAGAAACTGCGTGAAGTGGTGTTCCCAAAGTGAAAAAAAGGCTTCGAAAGACCGTTAAAAAGGGGGTGGACGAGAATGAGACCAGAAAATGAAGAAGTGTGGGGCGTTTGGACGAGCTATACAATGTGTCTCACTGCGTACGTGTGGGTCCTGGTGCAAATATTTGACCATGGTAACCAAAAACTCATTCGCTTATAAGCATAAGTAAACAAAAAAAAAACCTAGTAACAGCGAAAATAGCTGATTTTCAGCCTCTTGGGGGTAGGAAATTAAGTAAGAGATCGCGGTAGCAAAAAGAATAATAGAGGAAAAGAGAATGGGAGAAAAATCCCCTCATCACTTTGCGATCAGCTGGTTGTGTGAAATTGCAAGACTAGAACCTAGAACGAATAACTGCAATCCGTACCGCCTCGAAACTCGTCTAACGCCACATCGATCGAGGGGCGGGAAGGTCGCGCGTGCCGAGAACACGGCTTCCACTATGCCCTAAGCGCCGAGATTGTGGGAGCGAGAGGGTCCCTTCTATCACCATTGGGGGCGCGAGTATTTCTAAGAGAAGACTCAGTAACCATATTTATCGTAAATCGTGCCTTCAGGCGAAAAAGGAAGAATTGCAAGTCTACAAGCCAGGACCAGTTGATGGACCCTTCATCCAGCTTCGCTGTCTCTCTCTTTTCCATGAAAAATAAACTCTCACTGTGTTGTGACCCTTCATGGACGGTCCTTTCGAATTTGCAATCAATTACACAAAAACCCGTTTATTACATGACTGATAACGGTGGGCGTATCCTGTTTGTTGTTGCTATATCACTGGCCAATTGCCCTGGAAAAACAGATGATTGGAAATTTTCGTATGAGGCATCTGGAAGCCTTTAGCGTGAATCATCCTTCACCTGCTAGGCACACCTGCTTGTGGCTCATCGGTGACTATACCTTCTATGGCCTAAAATTACGTCTCCGACTTAACTAGAGCTGGGTTGTCCCTGTTCTTCTTCCTCAGCTCTTCACTTTCCCTAACACTTTCGACATTTAGGGTATCGCGTAGAGCCCAACGAAGTGGGTGAGGTTGTCCATGCGAAATTGGTGCATATTGATTACAATGAGGACGATAGTAAGGCTCACATGGGAAAAGTGAATCGAACGCTCGGCAAAGAGCATCAGATCATCCGCAACCTGGATGAGAATCGAGGTGAGGCCTTTCATTACGTTTCTTTCTCCCATGCATATTCTTGGAGTCTTTCATCAGCTATCATAAAACGATTTTTCACCTCCATGTCTATCCTTCTCCTTTGTTGCATATTTTGCTGATGATCATAAGAAGTCGCATTTTGTTTTATAAACTTTTAGCTAATTTTCCAGGCATCTCTAGAGAAGAGAATACCATGCGCTCAACCGAGAAGACCGCTTACGTGAAACCCGCAGTTCACGATACCCACGGAGGTAGAGGTAATGGCAGACAGAGTTGAAATTAGATCTACACGACAGAACGAGCAGCATCACAGTGCTCACAATTTTCAATATGCCACACGATATGATTTCATTGAGGTTCTGAGAAAACCCTAGAAAATCTCTATTGAGGGTTTTATGAGCCACGGTTTCCACACGCTCTCATAATGTGAGCTCACCAAACACCACCGTTTTCTACTCCGATAGCCCGATCTTTCATGGTTTCCGCTCACACGGTCCTTCTTTTTGTCGTAAACCCTTGAACAGCTCTGACTAAGAAAAAGTGAGGCACTATTCACCCTCCACCGCCCCACTTTGTCGAGAACGAGCTGGATTTCTATCGAATTTTTTTCAAGAATATGAAACCGACTAGAAACTTGCCTAGAGGGGTAATTCGACCCGTAGAACACGAATATCGCATCCATTCGTCGTGAAAATGCCTTCTTCTAGCCCACTNACTTAGGGGCAAGTTTCATTGACCCAGCTCCATTTGGCGCCGGCGCTTGTGGCGTGAGCGCTAGGCATCTTTATGACCATTCTCGACAAAGTGGGGCAGTAAAGGGTAAATAATGCCAAAGTGAGTTTGAAAAATTGCAGCTTACGGTAGTAAAAGTTCTCGGGAAAACTACGAATATGATTACCAAGGATAGTGACTAGTAAAATATATTAATGGTCGCAGTTTTCTTGTCTGGCGAACGAGAAATCTCAGTACTACCGTTTCTACTCCACCGTTCGCTGTCATGAATTTCGCCGTCAACTCTGCATGTTATCGCAATATATAGTACCTTATGGTGTGCTATCACCTTTCTTGAAGACTCAAACTTAAATTCCAGCTTTCGACTTGAACAAATATGAAGAACTTGGTGGAGAAGAACTGCCCAAGGAAGAATTCGACAGGGAGACCGCTGCAGCTACAGTAGCCATTCGACGAATGAGCAGGACCAATCAGTGGAGTGAAGATGATGAACGACGCTCCCGAGTCAGTGAAATTCTATATCAAAAAGTGAAACAAAGACGGTGATCTGCCCAGGCTCTTGCTTGTTCTCGTCGCACCTGGTGCGAATGTCCTGAAGGTCTTAAGCTGTGCGCTGGAGTTCAGTCCCGAGAGGTTTTTGAAATATCACCCCTTCACATGAAACGCAAGACCTTTAGAATTAAGACCCTTTTTAGTAGTTTTTCAACTTTTTGACGATGTAATTGCCATAACGTCCAAAATGACGATTCTCAACACCGACATTGACCCACCACTTCATTATAGTCCCTCCGTTGGTCCTGGCAGACTTATGGGTAAGGACAGTATTTGAGAACGATAGGGAGAGCTGTAGATTGTGGTGCATCTGGGTCGGTCAACGTGAACCTCTTCGAGTTTCATTAGAATCGCGAAGAAATATGTGCTAGGGGTACCTTACTCCGGGACTGAAAGGGCATGTCGTGTTACCAAACGGTATTAGTGAGGATCCATCCCCAGATGGTCTTGTTTCGCTACGGCTTATCATTGGATATTGTGATCTTTCGCAGCACGACGTCCAAAGTCAGTTGTCATTACCGGTACCATAATTTGCTTATAACTGTATAGTCTCTGCTGTGTTTTTCACACATACGACTATTAACCAGCTCGGATTCCATTTTCCCTTACTAGTTATTGTAGTACCCACTATATAGGAGAATGCTGTAAACATGATACAATCAGGTAACATCATTGCCAACAATCAGATCATCTTCGCTGAAAATACGTTTAAACGATTTTTCGGAGGAAACGCAGATGAAAGAAAGGGGATCTCATTCTTTTCCAGAGTCGAGAATACACGAGGAGCCCGCTTTCTCCACTGACTTTGGATGTACCTGCTTCTCCGACACCCAGACCAACTCCACGACGTGATTTCTCCCCATGTAAGTTTCGGACAAATTCTGTAGAAAAGCTCAGATTCGAAACATTCCAGCGCCATCGAATTTCTGGTCCTTTCTTGGCACGCTTATTAGTCTAGTCCTAGTTTATATTATTGCTTCATATATGTTATTATCTGTTCTATGTGCCGCAGAAATTACAGCTGTTGGTGGCATACTGTCTCCTACGACGAAACGGTCATTAAGTGCCGAACGACCTGAGGTCACTCACAACCGTGAGTTTTTAGTCTGGATTTCAGAAATCTGCAGAAAATATCAATAACTGGTTTTCAAAATCCATTCTCTTGAATCTGAGCTTTCATCGGATCAAATATTTAAGTTACGAACTTCCCAACTAAATTTCATCGGCACGTTGACGAGTGAAATGTACAGCTCCGGAAAATAAAATAAAATAATAAATAAACAGAATAAAAATAGTCTCCAACTTCTCTCTTGCTTTAACCTCGGCATAGATGTTCCTAGTTACAATATTCTTGTGCCGTGCGAGGTTGTTAGGTGGAACTTTTATTAATCACAACGGCCTAACGTTTCGACGTTCTCGTCGTCTTCAGCGACTGTCAGTAGCGATTCGCTACTAACAGTCGCTTGTGGCGACAGCGGATTTTATTCCGCTTGAGCGGTGGAACCT